ATTAAGAATCTATTAATTTATTGTTAGTGATGTCTCAAGTGATTTCTTCAGCACAATTCACCAGAACTGGTGGAAGACCTATTTGAGGATCTCAGAGATGGCGTGTTATTATGTCATCTCATCGAATTTCTTACCGGTGAAGCATTGGTATGTTGTTATCTGCTTGAAAAGTCATGATGTAGCATAACTATCGAAATCTGGTTGAAATAATATCGTTTTTTTCAACAAGTTTTTGGAAGTTTTCTAAAACAGATATCAATTATGCTTTTGTTAAAAAAAGTTTTGATTCGTTATAATCATAGTAGATTTGATGAAAATTGTATTCGGACAAGAAATTATAGAAATTAAGAAGTTGTTTACGCTGACTATTTTCTTGTTCAACTTTTAACTGCTGTGTAAAATCAAAAATTGAAATCTCTGACTTTGTATATTGATTTCGAAATATAGCATATGATCGTGGTATTCTAGAATTTTAATAAAATTTCAAAATTTTTAGCCAATTAACAAGGCAAAAGAATCAAAACGGATACACCATATCAGCAATTTAACAACAGCATTGGCAGCTTTACGACGTCGTGGTCTTGACTTGGTCAACAATAATCCAGCAGATATAGCCAATGGAAATCCACGAATAATTTGTGGACTCATTTGGCAGATGATCCTCCACTTTCAAGTACGAGAATGCGTAATTTTATCAAATTTTTCCAAAAAAATATTCCATTTATGAAGTGTTTTTTAAGTAGTTCTTCAAACGAATATAAAAGCATGAATTATTTTTTCATTTTTCCTTTTTAAATCGTCAAGTTCTTACAGATTGAGACCAATGTTCAACTATTGAAAGAATGGGGATTTGAGCTAGAATTGGCTAATAGTCCATCAACGTCTAGAATTGGTAATGAAAATAGCCCTTTTGGCAAATTACCCCATCAGTTACGTATTGGACGTCTAAAAGTACCTGCTGATCGTGTAATTTTACGATGGGTAAATGCACAGCTTGCAAGGTATTTTAAATATCGATCGATTTTCTCAAAGTATTTTTCAACTTTTTGAAGAGAATAAATTGGTCTACACCTGCAGTCGAGAATATGACGAATGAGAATTATAGATATTTCTGCAGAAAATTGCGAATTCTTCGGAAGTGAGAATACTTAGGAAGAGTTAAATGATAAAATCAAGTAAATAAGTTTATAAGTATAATATAGCGATTAGAAAAAAAGGAGAAGTAATGCGGAGAGAATATGCTGAAAATTAAATGAAATACTTTGTATAAAGTATTTTTTAGACCTTATAACATAAGCCTAACTGATATGGACAAAAGTTGGCGTGATGGGATTGCTTTCAACGCACTAATACATCGTGTAAGGCCCGAATTGGTTGATATGGATGTAGTACGTCAAAGCACTCCGAAAACCAACCTTGAGCAGGTGAATAAAGTTTATTCATTAATTTGTTTGCGAAGCATAGTATTGATAGCTGTAATTTTAAATCTTCTGAAACAAGACTTCATTCTTTATAATTTGACTTTATAGTATTCGTATTAAATCTTCACATAGTAATACGTTTTTGTTTATACGTGTTCTTGCTTTCTGCTACTCATAAGTGGAGTGTTTATTAGTGAAATTTCAGGCATTTCGACTAGCAAAGGAACATTTGCACATACGACCACTATTGGATGTAGAAGATATGTTGTGCGACAAATCAGATAAAAGATCTGTGATTACTTACGTGTCACAGTTCATTCGCACTCTGAAACATCTACGACCAATTGGTACATCTCCACCAATGATTGATGCTCATTCATTGATTTCCTGGATGGAAGATACCTTGAGCATTTTGAGTTCTTCTGTTAGTGCACCACTTTACGATCAGTATCAGGTAATTGCAGAAATACATTTTATAAACATATACAAATACAGAAATACATTTTATAAACATATAGAAATGAAATACAAATACAGAAATACATTTTGGCAAAATATGAGCTCTCTACTTAATGATTGACGACATTAGTCTGTTGAAGTAAAAATTTAAAAGCTCATATTTTTTCCGTGTAAAAACTGAGCGCTAATTAGCGTTTCCTTCAAGTTGAACTGTAAGAATTAGTAAAATAATAATCTAATGTATATTTATTTATCCTCCAATTCTTTGTCAATTTTTTGATTTTTAATTATGATTTCTAACTTTTCCTGATTGATTTTTCTGTTTCAAATCCAATTAAAATAGCCATAATAGCTATAACGCAAATACCTAACATCAAGAAACTGCGCATATAACTCTCACCTAATTTTTAGCATTTTCATTGTAAATTTTTAAAAATATGATATAATCTATAAATAATGTTCCGAGCTATGCTAGCATTATTTAGTGAAGCTTGATTATATTCATTGTGAAGTTGTTTGAACTAGGTCAATTTCATTTTTAACTGCTTATATATTGCAGACATATCTGTCATTGCGAAAACAATATTTTGAGCATCGCAGTGCTTATTATTACCTTCGCGAACATGCCACAACATTACCACAAGGTGAATGGAATCAGATTGAGGCCAGGTAAGCTTGCATTTGTAACTCATCAAAATTAAGAGAATCAGTTAAATATCATTTAGCAGTTCAAAAATACGAAATGGAGGATATGACCATTAGTTACTTCAAGAAATTTAATACATTTATCCTTTCAATAATATTAATGTGGTCCAGATTCAAGTCTTTGATATTATTTGAGGCAATCCTAGATCTTTTTAAATTTATAAATAGAAGATAAATGGAAGCATGTTTGTTTCATATTACGAAAATAGATTTCTCGTATGCCTGAAGCTCTCATGATGAATCATGACGTCAAAAGAACCAGCAGTTAGAGACGTAAATCATATGATGCCTTCATTCTGTCAACCTAGGAGATGTTCAGAATGTTGCCTTGCACTATTAATCACATTTCCAAGTTAAATGATTTTGATTTTAAATATCCAAAATTTTTAAAATTGTCATTTGCAGCTGGAAAAGGATTGGAGATCTACTGGATGAATGGAGTCATAACCTTGAATGTGAATTACCTGAAAAATTGTCTGAACTGGTGCAATGGTTGTGTACTGCAGAACAAATAATACAAAATCCAGTGGATATGCGGGTGGACGATGCGCAGTTGTCATTGTCCAATATCAATGAATCAATTAGTCATCATAAGGTTTATAAATATTTATTCAATATATAAATGTATTTTTGCACAAATGAGATGTAAAATTAGGGAATGCTTACTTTTAAAATTCTATTAATAACATCTAAGGATGAACAGATATTCTTACTTAGATAAAAAATATTCTTTTGAGACATATACGCCTCTCATTCTATTGTATGTTTTTGTGTTGAAAAACATTTCCTGTCAGATTCACTTCTCGGAATTTCCCTATCGATCGGAACGATTCCAATCAATCTATCTTAGTCGGAGAGTAGACGAACGCGAAGTTGCTGTGGAGTTGTTAGAACCGTTGAAGATTCGATTCAACACTCTAGCAACTGAAGCCCCACGTCGTTTGCAATATCTTCATCGAGTGCAAGCACACTATCAGCTTCTTTCTAATATAGAAGCGCTGAATCAGAAGATGGAACGATGGAAATCTTGTGATTCAGCTGCAGCTATTCAAAAGTCCATTAAAGAATACAAGGTAATTTGAGTTTCTGTGAACTTCAGCTATTTCTATTTTTGTTTTTCGACATTTTATTGACATTTTTACTTACTTTTTTATTTTTGTATTTTTTTAATTACTTGGAGCTTCTAACGTTATTCGAATGTGAAATGCTTGTTCATTTGAAGTGTCTTGAATAATGCTTCAGAATTTTAGATGGAAGCGGAAAGCGCTCCAGCGAAGAAATTCAAACGACTTCTTACACATCTAAAAGAAGTTTACAGTGAAGGTATTACCACTTTCGTTCCATTTTCAAATGGTTGTGAAAATCGAATGGGTAAATTGAGTTAGAAAAGTTCCCAGTTATTTTGGATAGTCGATATTTCCATTCTTAGTCTGCTTTTGTGCACTATGTAGCATAATTTTAAATTGGAGAATTATCAAAAATAAATTTTAAAGATATATGAAGAGAAGGTTTAGAATAAATAAATAATCTCTGGAGTAAGTGAACAAGAAGATATTTCCCGAAAGTTATAATCTTTAAATGATTACTTTTATCTATAGTCTGAATTGATCAAAGCAGTTTTTTGAATTTTAGCTTCCTTAGAGGAAACTGATTGCATTATCAAACAATGCGAAGACGCATCAGTGGAAACCGTGGAGAGATTCCAGCAACTGAAACCGCATCTAGATGAACTCTTCAAATTTTGCCGTGAATTTGAAAATGCTGCAACTAAGGTATTAATTACTTTAATTTGTCAATAACTACTTTAATTTTGAAGATTCAATTTATAACAAGAAGTAGAACTCCAAATAAAAAAATGACTTTCGGATTACTATCTGGTTTTAAATTTTAATTATTTTAACATTCGTGAAATACCAGATTGAGGAGAGAATTACACGTTCGGAGCGCGAAAAACGCAATTTGGTCGACGAAGATGATAAAGAATTGTTGCGACATTGTGAGAGAATTCGCGATGATATTGCAAGATTCGGAAATGATCATATGCAACAAGTTGTTAACAGCCGTCTTTCTGAACTAAGAAAGCGTATTAGTGCTGTCAAACGAGTATATTTTTAAATATTTTATAAATTTTTCAACATATACTAACTATTGCAGAGAATAATTTGGTTATTTATTTTTTCGGCACTGTTAATTTATGAAATTTTACAAGGTTCATTTTGAAACTACAAAGACCTGCATCTATTGATTATTGAAGTCAGGATAGGAAATAAAAATTAAATAAATTTAGAACTCAATAATTTATGGTTTTTCCTGGATGATGTTTGATAATTTGTAAACCTTCTTTTTCTTTTTATCCATACAAATTTCGGTGCTTTATCATGATATTGCAGAAAATTCCATTGAAAATAGCATCAAATCTGCAAGATACATTATCGAAGAAATTGGTACGAACCAAAATTACGTTATCAGGTAGTGCAAATGCTGCTGCAACAGTATTAGACATACAAGGCCCTGAACACAACCGTCTGCAGAAGTGGCTTATCACGGCTCGTCAACAAATGTCCACTATTGTCACTGACTTGAATAGCTTGGAACATGCAATTAATCAAGTATCGGTTAGCGCTTTGAGCTATTAATGTAAAGATATTTGTAATTTTAGGGATAAATGGATTTGTTATATGAGATTGATATAATTTGTTAGATTTCTCAATTCAAAAATCCACGATATTCTATTATCCTTTATGGAAGTGCCATAGCATAGGTCATTATAGGAGTAGTAACTAACATTAAAAATATACAAATATAATTTTTGTTCGTTTATTGATCTTTTACTTGTAGGATTGTCTTCGCGAAGGACAAGGAGTGGAAAATGAACGGATGGCGTTGCTGAAGATACGTGGTGCAAACAATGAACAAAATATAGGCGAATATCGGAAACTGCGTTCTGATTTGCAGACTTTATTGCAACATATGAAGAATGTTCAACCTCTATTTTTATCATTTGAAAAAAATTACGATAATCTTCTAAATTGGCCCAATAATCAAGTGGGAATTTTTTCTTTTCAGATTCATTATATTTTTTTTATCTAATTCTTAAAATCTTGATTTTTTCTTAAATCTTATTGCAAATATGACTCATAACCAGCGTATTTTTAATACGTTAAAACTGCGTTATGTCATAAATTACTGGATAATTTATGATTATTTAATCATTGCCTGATTGTTGAGGCAAAATTTTTCCATAAACGTAAACTTATGATTTTCTAGCACGATGAAAGGGAAAATAAAGAAAATGAGAAGTCTGACATAATTACTCATATGACATTTTTGGTGGAAACTTTGTCACGAAATGAATATAAGGAGTGGATTAATTGTAATTTCTTGCAACATCGTCTCGATGAATTAAAATACAGAATGAAGGTTCAGTAATTTTATCATATATTTTTATTGCATTGTAATAAATGATATTGGAAAATTTGAAATGAGACATATAGTTTACCGTATGTGATATTGTTTTAACTCGAGTGGAGAGTTAAATGAAAGAATCAAAAATCTCTGAAAAATTAATTTGTTGTAAGATTGGAGGTTTAATTATCAAAACAAAAAAATGAAAATAGTGATATTTTATATGAGTTGCTTCTATTTTATTTTAATTTTCGCTTTTCAGGAGAAAAAAGAGCAACTTGTAGAAGCGGAAGAATCATCTATAGTTGCGGTGAGTTTTTGCTACGAAATTTTCTCAGCTTCCAAGTTGACTTGTTTGTTTCCTGGATTAGTATCCTAAATCCAATTTAAATAAAATTGAAAGATTCATGGTGAAGTTAAAAGGAACGTTTCAGTTTAAGTAAAAAAAAATTAAGCAGTTTAAAAAATGTATATAGGAACCGTGTAAATATAAGAACAGTCCCTTTCTGATCATTTACGTCGGTTACATTAATAGTACAAATTTTTTTGAATTTTCAACTGCTCACTACCCTGTACCCTGTACGTTTTTTTAAAGTGAAATTTTTGGACGGCAAATTGTAAATAGCCATATTTTTATTCATTTCCTTTTTTCCAATCCTACTTCATTCCTTTTCATTCGAAATTGTTTGAAAAAAACTTATACTTTGTAATGCATCGAAAAATAAAAAAAATAAGGAGAAATGAAAAGAAGAAAAAAGATAAAATATGAAGGTCCGTAACTGTTATCCGGTTTGATTTTTTGTAAAATGAAATTTCTTTTTAAGATTAGAGAACAATATATATTGTTTCCCATTCTTAAAAATAAATTTCCGAATAAAAATATCTCTGTAATGAAGACCGTTGTCTCGCTCTTGGAACTTCAATTTGGTCACTTATAAATTGGCCATCAATTTTTTTTTTTTTTTGGATTGATTTATGATTTGATTTTACATGTTTTTTTTGCATGTAAATGAAATGTTTCTAAAATCATAAAAAATGTTTTGAAAACTTCCTGTTTAAAGTTCTCTGTAATTTATCATTACATCGGTAAATCAGCTGCTTTTTTACGATCATCTGTTGGATTGTTTTTAGATAATTAAATGCGTGCTGTTGCTAATTTAAATTAAGTCTGAGTTTTTCTCTGTCATTCCTCCTGCTGATCATACAGAGATAGAATGATTTTGCAGAATTTTAGAAAATTTACAAAAAAAAAAGAATTTTCTCAATTTCTGATTCAAATAAAAAAGTTCAATTTCAGACTATAACAGCAGCGTTGATTAAGAAGAAGAAACTTCTGGAACAGACCGTAGAAAGCTGGTCAGATATTAAAATTTGGGTTGACAATGTCGCCGAAATCGACACCCATTTGGAACTCATTTCTTCTGCAGCTAAAAATACTTCCATATCTCTATCCGATGAATTCAATAATGAGAAAGAAAGACTTCAGAAAGAATGGCATCAGAAAACAGAAACCATTAGCCAATTACAAATAATTCATGATGCAGTGGAAGTACTACGGAACAGGCTGGCCGAGAATCCACGATTGTTAGAATTGATATTGTTGAATGAGAAAATAGAAAATCTAAGACAGCAGTGCATAAATATCGTTGATCCTAGCGTCATAAGCCTTCGAAATTGTTATATGAAGGAAATTGAGGAGGGATTTCGTACAGCCATCACAGAATCATTCTCAAGGGCGGAGCAACGAGTCACCGAATTGTCGATGGTTGGCGAAACAGATGTACGGCTTGCCGCTGGCATTCTTCAGGTCTGTTTTTTGTTATATAT